TAAAGCATACTTTACGGAAATTTAAAGGGGGGGGGGGGGGGCGCCCTCGATGGCAGTGGGTCAGAGATTTGAGAGGGACGCGGGGAGGACGGTGATGGGCAGCTCAGCCTCTGCCGGTGCTGCAAGTTCTGCCGGTAGGCTCCTGTGCATCCCCGCCTCTCATGAAGCTCCATCCGAAGCACAGCACCGCACCCCTCCAGTTTCAATACGTGGTGTCATTCCTGGAACCCCCCCATCCCACCCCCTCACCCTCTTCTCTCTCAGGCACCTGGAGTCGCTGGTGCTACCCATGGTGCTGAGCCAGCTGCCGGAGCTGCGCCCGGGTCAGCTCCCCGCGCTGACCTCGCTGGCGCTGCCCTCCTCCCTGGCCGAGCGCTGGCCCGCCAGCTGGTGTCTGCACCTCCCCGCCCTGCGCCGCCTGGACCTGTCCGGCGCGGCCAGCCTGGGCCGCGCCCTGCCCCGCGAGTTCTCCGCCCTGCGCCGCCTGGAGTTCCTGGAGCTGCGCGCCTGCGGCCTGGAGGCCGTGCCCGCACCTGTGGCTGCGCTGCCCGCGCTGCGCCGCCTGGACCTGGGCATCAACCGCCTGGCCGGGCTGGCCCCGGGGCCCTACCTGGCGGGCCTGGAGTGGCTGTGCCTGCGCCAGAACCCGCGCCTGCGCGCGCTGCCCGCCGAGCTGGCGGCCGCGCCTCATCTCGCACACCTCGACCTGGGCGAGTGCGAGGCGCTGGAGCTGGGAGGCGCCGACGTGCGTGACGTGCTGGCGCGCATGCCCGCGCTGCGCCGCCTCGTGCTGGCGCGGGCCGAGGACGCCGCCGACGGGCCGGCGCTGGGGGCCGCGCTGGCCGAGCTGCGCCGCGCCGCGCCGGGCGTCGCTGTGGACCTGCGGCGCGCGGAGGGCGCCTTCCAGACGCTGTGCTGACGTGGCGCTGCCGCGACGCGGGCGTCGCAACAAGACCACCCCCCAACTCCTGCCGGCTAGTGTTTCCCTTTTTTCTTTAGATCCCTTGTGGGGGCCTCGCCACGCCCCCCTTCCCCCGCCGCTGCAGTTTCTTCAGCCCCCTCAGAACTAGTTCGTGGGCAGCACCCCGTGCCTCTTCTTTCATTCCTAGTATGAGCATTCAGTAGCTTATTTTGGCCCCGCGCACGGCCTTGCCCCCTCACCCTCGCGCGCACCCCTTGTCTGACTGAATCCCCTCCCCCCCCCCACCACACGACTGGAGGTCAAACTTGCTTCCCCGGTGAACCCCACGGAATTTAGTCCGACGTGTTCCCCTACACTCAGCGCTGTAGATAGTCAGGCTGACCCTTCTGCCGCTCACAGTGGGAAAAGAATTCCACAAGAGATCAGCGAGAGCTCCCGACCAGCCACCCGGAGCAGTGGGGGGACGGGATGGCGAGGCGCCAGGATTACGACTACCTCATCAAGCTGCTCCTCATCGGGGACAGCGGTGCGTGAGGGTGATCTGAGTCGGGTGTACAAGTGCATTCGGGGCCCGGGTGGGAGCCGGCACGGGACCACCTGTCGACCCGTGCCCTCCAGACCCCTCCCCCGGGTGGTTGTTGCAGGGGTGGGGAAGAGCTGCCTCCTGCTCCGATTCGCCGAGGACTCCTTCACCTCCAGTTTCATCACCACCATCGGGTGAGGGGGTGTGGACAGGGGCGGGCCACGAAGGGGGTGGCCCCCTTGGACCGGTGGCAGTTGAGGTGCAGCCCTGTGTGCATCGTCCCACACTCCAGCCCCCCCACCCACCCACTCCCAGCATCGACTTCAAGATCAAAAAGGTGCTCATAGATGGCAAGTGGGTGAAGCTCCAGATCTGGGACACGGCCGGTCAAGAACGCTTCCGCACCATCACCAGCGGTGCGTAGTGGGCACCTACTCGTTTGTTTCTCGTCTCTTTTTGGGACCGCTCCTCATACCTGTGTGTGCAGGCAAAGTTGCGATCCCCTGCATCACCAATTGCATGCAGGCCAACCCATGATTGGGCGTGACTAGTTCCCTGTGCTTTCCTGCTTTGGCCTCACATCACCCAGGCACCCCCTTCAGCCCCCCGAGCACACAGCCCCTGCATCCCCCATTCTCCAATCCCCTGCGCCCCTCGCACAGCCTACTACCGCGGCGCCATGGGGATCCTGCTGGTGTATGACGTCACCGACGAGTCCTCCTTCAGCAACATCCGGAACTGGATGCGGAACATCGAGGCCCACGCCAGCGAGCATGTGGTCAAGGCCCTGGTGGGGAACAAGAGCGACATGGATGAGTCGCGGCGCGCGGTACCCTACTCCCGAGGACAGGTCGGTTTCAAGTGGAGAGGGGGGAGGATGAGGTCGAGAGCGGTGGCGACCTCTCGTGTGCCCGCCGGGCATCCCACCTCCCTGCAGCCCATGGTATCGACCGTCGACGTGTCGGTGCGCAAGTGCCGCCGCCACCGGCCCCATCGCGTGCCACCTCAAACACAGGCGCTGGCCGACGAATACAAGCTGCCCTTCTTCGAGACCTCCGCCAAGAGCAACGCCAACGTGGACGAGGTGTTCCAGGCGGTGGCGCGGACGGTCATGGCGAGGCTGCGCGACTCCCTGCCGGCTGGCGGGGAGCAGGGCGGCGCCGGAGCCGGCGCCGTGCGCGTCGGGGGGCCACCGGGCGGCGCTCCTGGGCGGTACTCCGCGGCGAAGCCCAGCAAGCCGGCCTCCAGCGGCTGCTGCTGAGTGCGGCGCGCGTGCCCTCGGCATCCTGTCGCAGGCGCCCTCCAGGCATCCCCATGGCGCCGGGTCACGAGTCCCAGCGTCTATCCTGGGCCCCGTCCCGCGATCGGGGGCAGCTTCCTCGCGCCCCTGCACTCCCTTTCCACTTGCGCGTGCAATGCAGAGACGGCGGCCCATGCAGCCGTTTGCCGGCCTCGCGCGTCGCCGCAGCGATGCCCCTTCCTGGCGCCCGGCGCACGCATCCCTGCATGCCCCCTCCCTTTCCTGCCGCTCGTTCGTCTGACGTACCGCCCCATGACCATGTACACGCTGGCAAGCATGGCAGGGGGGTGGGGTCGCATACACACCAGCTTCAGGAGTGGTGGTATCGGTTGCGCAGGGCGCGACGGAGCGGCTCTTTCGGGGGCTCCCCGCCAGGGATGGAATACACGAGCCCCAGGGCTCCGCGCGCGCTGCGTGCAGCCCCGCCCAAACCCCGAAAGAGGCAGACCCGCCTCAGGCCCCGCCCTCTGCGCCGCCCTCCGCCAGCGCGTGCACGCGCGCCAGGAAGCGCTGCAGGAGCGCGGCGCAGCGGGCCTCCACGTCCTGCACACTGCGCCTGCCGTAGCCCAGGCCCCGCAGGTTCTCCACCAGGGCGGCCAGGGCGGCGGGGCCTGGCTTGCCGTGCGACGCCAGGCAGCCGTGCAAGAGTAGGCGGTCCTCGTCGGCGTGCCAGCTGCCGCCTGCCGGCGGCGGCCCCGGCCCCGGCCCTGGCCGGGCCAGGTCCGGCAGCAGCCGCTGACGTGGCAGGGGGGGCGGGGGCACGCCCAGCGCGGCGTAGCCGCCCTGCACGCCCGCCAGCGCGGCGGCCAGCTGCTGCCGCAGGCTGCCGGCGTCCAGCCCCGGCGGCGGCGGGGGGTGTGCGGCGCAGGGGCTGAGCCCCAAGCCGTACCCGCGCAGGAGCGGGGCCTCGGGCGGCGAGGGCGGTCGCAGGTGGCGACCCCATCCCGGCCCGCTCATGGGAGGCTCCCAGGGGGGCGCATCGTCTTGGCTGTCGCTGCTGACTGGGATGGGCAGGAGCACGGACCGGGGGCCTCTACCCGTGGAGGGCGAGGGGGGCGATCTCGACCCAGGGTCGCAGGACGCCGCGCCGCCGGGCTTGTGCGCGGTGAAGAAGGCCTCCCGCAGCAGGGCCTGGCGCCGTTTCTGGGCCAGGGCGCGGCGGCGAGCGGCCTTGTCGGGCCTGATCAGCGAGGCGCCGCCGGTGTGCTTGCTCCACAGCCGCGCCAGCACCTGGAGTGGGTGCGGGTGTGTATGTGGCGCTTGTTGCTGGGGAATCATGGATCGGTCCCGCCCCTCACAGGGGCGAGCTCTGGCTCTGCATCGATGGAGATGTTATACGTCTCCGGGAATGCGTGATCCCCCAAAAATTACACCTTGGGCTGCCGAGCGGGCAGGTACTCCTTGCATATGAGCTCCCAGCGATTCTTGGCATCGCCCACCCACGCGACGGCTTCCGCCAGCAGCGCAATCTCGGGGGGGGTCAGGGGCCCACTGATGGTGGCCACCGCGTCCTGAGGGATTGATTCACGCGATTGGAAAGGGAGATCATGAGCAGTTGAGTGGAGTGGGTCGGGGCTAGGGGATGGACCGGCTGCAAGGGCAAACTCCAAACGCCGCATGCCTCCTTTCCCTGCTCCAAGTTACAAAAACCACCAGCCTAATTTCAACCCGGTCACCCCTCCGGCCAACAACCTTGATGGAGTTTGGGCGGGCAGAGCCTGTCGTCTGGTTCTTCTTCCGGTGAAACAGCTGGGATGGCGTCTTGTTGGGCAGGAGCTCCGCCACGATGCGTTCCCAGTCATACCCAAATCTGCAATGCGAGGGTGCACATGCCCTTGTCAGTGATTCCCTGCGTGCTCCTCTGAGGGCCGGGAGGAGGAGGAGGAGGTACGAGCGCAGACAGACTACTGCCATGGCATGAGGCATCTGTTCCATGGAGGACCAGAGGGGTCCAAGGCAGGGCATACTTCGAAGAACCCAAAGGAAATGGTGCAGTGCAGCATGGACCGACTCACAACCTGCAGTACCTGAGGATGCCCAGGGCCAGCAGCTCATCCTCGGCGGGACTGAAGATCATCTGGCTGGTCACCATGTAGTCTGGTGGCTGCAGAGGGGAAGGGTGTGTGCTGTTGGAGATCAAGGAGCTGTCAGAGCGGTGGTTACCGGAGTGCGGAGCCGCTCGAGGATTGGCCCTCACATGGCCACGCCTGATGACCGACTCCACCCTCCCTGACAACACGTCGCACCATGGGCAGCAGGTCTGGGTCGGCACACTCCTCCTGGATGGGTGCCCAGGCAGCCGCCACATCCTCCGGCAGCCTGCTCCACTGGGGATGCACCAGGGGCCGTTTCCTCCGCTTCGGAGGCTGCCTGGAAGGTGTTGGGAGGTGGGGGTTGGGTGGGAGGGGGGTATCTTGGGGATGAGTGTTGGAGCAGACCACGTGCTCAAAGCCACACCTTCCCGGACACACCCCACACGAATGCCCGCCTCTTCCGCCCCCCCCATCACGGGCGGCAATGGTGCCACGAATACGACCGAAACCAGCATGTCCCCTTTTCTTTCGCCAAAGAAAGGGCCTCACCAGCCGGAGGGCGCGTCCGCGGCCCTCTTCCGCGCTGCCGCCCCCCCAGGGCCCGTCGGTCCCACCGCCACCGCCCCCTCCCCTTCCTCCGAGTCGGAGTCAAGGTCGTCCACCTCCCAGCGTATCCGTTCCCCAGGCGCGTCGGGCGCGGCCTGCGGCCTGTCCGGAGCCACGGCGCGGCGCAGGTCCGGCCAGCGCCGCAGCGCCGCCACGTCGGCGATGGTGTGGGCGGGGACGGGCATGCGCGGCGCCCAGGAGCCCCGCGACGTCGGCGCCGCCTGGGCGGTGCCCGGGGCGTCGACCTCCAGCGCCATGGGCGCCGGGTCGTAGGGCGGGACGCGGTGTCCGCGCCGCGCGCGCGCGCTCTCGACGACGCAGCCCCGCATGCCGTCCAGCAGGTCCGCCAGGCGGGCCGCGCGGGCTGACTCCCCCCCCGCCGCCGCCAGCAGGTACTGCTGCATGAGCAGGAGCACGTGGCGCGCGATCAGCGCATGCAGCGCGCGGTACTGCGACGGTCGCAGCGCGCCAGGCGCCACCGCAGCCGAGGCGGGCGGCCGCCCCGCCGGCGCGAGGTGGCTGCACAGCGATGCGATGCTGGGCGGGGGGTCGTCGGTGGCGGCGGCGGTGGCGGCGGCGGGCGTGCTCGTCCCCGGCGCTGTGGCGGGGGGGTCAGTGGCCGCGTCGCCTGACCTGGGCAGGAAAGCGTGCCGCGGCCTAAGCCAGTGCCCGGGCAGGGCTGCCGTGGCGGCCTCATCAGCATCACAGGGCCGGTGCCACTTGAGGGCGGCGGTGTCCTGGGTTTGGGAGGGCAGAGGACGTCGTAGGTGGGGTGGGGGTCACAAGGGAGGACGAAGTTGTGCTGCATGGTCATGCACGGTCCAGGAAACGCTTGCTCATGCATGCAGGGCCGGGGATGCGGCATGGAGGGCACAAACCAACCCAACCTCCAACAAAACTGCTATGCGCTGACCAGAGGTGCAGCTGCAGCAACAGGGCTGAAGTCCTCGTCGGCCTCGGAGCCAGATGCCTCCTCCTCGTCCAGCGGTAGGTGGCCCAGGGGATCGCCGAGGGACTGGCATGGGCGAGGGAGGGAGCAAGTGAGTGGATGTCAAATGTTAGCTGGCATAGTACTCAGGCAGGTGCCTGGGATGAATCAACCACAGCAAGTTGGCAAAATAATGTCCTCCCATCAAGTCGACCACACGGCTCCATCCCTCCTTGGACACCAAGCCCCTTTTTCACCTGTATGAATCGCCGGTACTCGGCTTCGCCCATGGGGTCTATTGTGGGGACTTCGTCCTCAGCCTGGAGTGGTGAATGTGTTCAGAAGAGTGAAGGACAAGGCGTGCATCCTTGCAAAGCAGGCAATTTCATCGATTACCTTGTATAGATTGGCTGGCCGAGCTTCAATGCCATGAAACATTCATTCATCTCCCACATAAACCTGGCCTCCTGATACCCCTTTAAGACCACCCACCTCCAGCAGCTCCTCCAGCTCATCGATGGTCATGTGGTGAAGGGGGGCCTGGGCGCGCGTGCGGCGTGCCACCGGGGTCGGGAGGGGCAGGGCCCCTCCTGTCGACGCGGATGGCTCCAGGGATGGAGGGAAGGGCATGGAGCCCAGGGACTCCTCGACATACCCCAGGCCATCAAACAGGTCGTCCTCTTCCACCATCTACCAGGTTGGGAGCATGGAATCGAAAGGGCCTTGATTCAGAGCATCTTGCATGGACCATAGGGGTAAGTTGATGCTCGACAGGCACGCAGCAGCTGCTATGGAGAGCTGCGCATCATACATGCAAGGCAGGTCCGTGGCACCTGACCAATGCCGTTTGCCTTTGACACATGGGGCGCACCTTGGCAATCTCGGCATCTGTCAGGAGGGGTTCCAGGAACAGGGCAGAGCTTTCCTCAGCCTCAGGGTGGTCCAGCACCGGTGTTTGCGGTTGGGATCCGAGTGGAGTTGAGCGGGGGCTTGGTGGGCCCTCGCTGGCGCTGTCATCCGCCTCGGACTCAGACCCCGAGGTCGCACGGAAGTCCTCATCCTGCGATATGATGAAGACAGGCGGCGTGGTGCCTGTCAATGCGAGCTGCGCGAGAGTAGAATGCACGGCCTGAGGATAGGCAGCCACTTCACCGCTTGTTATTCACCCCACCAGATCACCTGGTCATCGTCCTCCGTCTCCGACATGAAAATAGAGGCAGGCTGGGTGCCCCCACCTGTCTCTATGTTTCTAAGCGTGCTCATCGAGGTGATTGCTCCACGCTATGCCTAGGTCTGGCCATCCCGTTCATGCGTGTTCCGCACACACCCAACAGGCGCCGAGCGAAAGTCTACATAGATCTTGGGCACGGAAGTTGAGCATATTTCATTTCATGCTCATTCATCACCAGCCGAGAGGAAGCTGGGCATCCCTCTTCGAGCGATGTCTCGTCACGGAGCAAGTAGGCGATCTGACGTTTGAAGTTTGCATGGCGCGCAGGCGAACCCAACCTTCTCTCGGCGACCCCGGGGCACGGAAGTAGAGCGTACTTTGCACCACTCTGTCTCGCCATTCTTCAGAGGAATATCATGATAATCGGGTTGTACTATCTGCGCCCGATGGGTCGCTGAAAGGCCACACCCTTGGCTCCGTCAGCATTCCCATCCGGTGTCCTTACCGAGCAGGGATGCAAATGCAGCGTACCCGGCTGCCGACCTTGCAATTCTGCGAATAAAGCTTGCAGACTGACTTATTTGGTACGGATTGACCAAGGATGGCACCCAACGGGTTTCGGCCAGTTAGCCGCCCTCAATACATTTCTTTCAGGTGTCCTAAGACTCTTTCTCGATTCTGCTGTCAGGATGGAGTGGCCGCGGAACGAATGGCTTGCACATTTTTAGGCTTCATGATCTTGTAATACTTGGTGACAGGGCCATCCGCATCTGTGCATGTCCCTTAAGCAGTTTGCATTCTTCAAACCCTTGTCCATTGGGGCTTTTTTGGGTGCCAGAGTGAAGTCTTTGGCCCTTGGGCAACCTCTGAGCAATTCAAAGAAAGTACTTGGGAGGACACCCAGCAGCTGGATGCTGGCTCCTACAGACCATGTAGAGCATTAAATGGAGTGTGTTGAGAGTAGTACGTGATGTATGTGCTGAAACCTTACCCACTGTGCTGGAATGGGATGCTCATTCAATGGGCCATCTCTTGCTGACTTTGAAACTCAAATCATTGACACCATCCCATCTCAGCCAAGCAAGCCGGCGTAACGATTGCCTGGCAAAGCTGTCTCACTGTCCACTCTTCCCTAGCCCTTGAATAACCTGACAGTCACAATAAGCAACTTTGTACGTGCATCAGGCACAGATGCCAAGTGATGATTGTATTTACGGCAGGGCATGCCCAAGAACTCTGACTCTGGATCACGGAATTGGACCCAAGGGGCAATAACCACATCCAGCATCAACCCAGGTAGAACGCACTCCGCGCGCGGAAGACGGAGGTGAGGCACTGCACTCAGAGATCGACGGCCGCGACCCATCACGACACCATTCTTGAAGTACTACTGACCCATTCAAGCGATATGCCCGTTGCCGAGCATCCACGCCCGGTCTGAGCTTGGGGTTGGACGCTGCGCCCGAGGGATGCCCGAGCGCGGCCCCCGACACCAAGGGTCTGGACTCCCTCCCTTCCCACCGGGCCCCTTCCAGAGCTCCCGTGACCGTGACATGGCCTCGGACGACATCGAGGACCCGCTGCTGCCAGAACCGGCGAGCCCCAGGGCCATGCCGGCCGCCGACCTCCCTCCTGCCAGCATGAGCAAGAACTGGCCAGCCCTGCGCCTGTCCTCCATGTCCACCCGCCGACTCTCCCCCAGCATGCTCGGCGGCGGCGACTTTGACACCGTGAGTGACTTTGGTGTTATGCAGGACGCCTTTTGAGTCGCTGCCAGGTGACCATGGCCCTCCCACAGCGGTGGCATGGGACACCCACCCTGTGTCCCCATTCCGTATGCTGCCGCCTATCTGTCTCCTGGGCATCAGACTCATCCCCCATACCCACACTTTGAAACCCACATTCCACAGCAACTGTCCCCCGCCGGCTCCTTCATGTCTGCCACCTCCTGGCCGGCAAGCCGCGGCCCCAGCCCCCACACCGCCATGCGTCGAGCGGCCCAGCCGGACTCGCCACCCCACCCCCAGGCTCCCACCAACTGGCCCGGCCTGGGGCGCCCGGGCCCGCCGGGTTCAATTGACCACACACCCCTGCCCTCCATCCCCGAGCCGGGCGCGATTTTCCCATCCCATGCGCCTGAAGTCCACACACACACAGCCCCCGCCGCCATGGACCGGCACACGCGCGCCGCGCTGGTCGGCCTGATCGACGTCATGCTGGCGCTGCCCGTGGTGGCCTCCTTCGCCTCCATCATCTTCCAGGCCCCCTTCTTCGCGCCTTACATCGGCCAGCTGGTCAAGCTGGTCTGCCTCTCCTCCGCCTTGCACCAGCTCATCTTCAGCCTCTTCTCCACCATGCCCTTTGCCATGGGCCAGGTCCAGGACGTGGGCCTCATCTTCATGTCCGCCATCGCCTCCAACGTCGCGCGCGCCTGCGCGGGGGAGGGCGTGCCCGCCGACGAGACCCTGGCCACCGTCCTCGTCACCCTCACCATCTCCACCGCCATTGTCGGCCTGCTCATCATCGCCACAGGTGTTGTGTGTGTGTGGTGGGGGG